GCCCTGGATGTTGGCCACCCCAGGCTCCTGTGACTCTGCCCCTTTTCAGCTGAGGCAATGGACAGGGCGAACACAGCCTTCATGCTGGGGTAAGCAGAGAAGACCCATTCCAGGGGAGTTCTGCCTTTGTCTGGAGCAGGGTGACTGACTGGCCCTGCCATTTGGAGCAGGTCTCAAGAGGCTGCTCTGAGCTTACACTGAGAAGAGATGGGATGGTGAGCAAGCAAGGCTCCTTCTCAGCACGGACAGGAAGAGAGTGAGATTCGATTTGGGGAAGTCTTGGCTCCTCTATACCCAGCATTCCCTCTGCCAAATCCATCAGATCACCTCAGTGAGCTCAGCTCTAATTCCACAGCCGAGGTGAACATTGGTAGTAATACACTTTGGGGTCCCGGGTCCAGTAACTTCTTTAACTCATGAAACCACCTATGCGTGTGTGTAGTCATCTGTTCAGACGGTAGTGACAAAACACGGCCGTGTGGTTTAGACAATCAACATTTTTTTGTTCACAATTCTGGCAAAGCCCACACTCGGTGTCCGATTAGGGCCCACTTCCTGGTTTATCCGCAGCTGTCCTCTTGGGGTGTCCCCTGCAGGAGGTGAGAGCTTTCTGGGGCTCCTCTCATAGGGACACTATTTCCATTCATGAGGGTCCCAACCTCATAACGGTCATGTCCCAGTCACCTCCAAAGTCCCCCTCTGGCATCATGTGGGGGTTAGGATTTTAACAGCTACACAGTGAGACCCTGTTCCAATCGAAGGGGGAGTTGGGAGGCACGCAATTGGGCGTAGGGTTCTTGGCTAGTTTGCAGGAAGCCTGGGTTCAATCCCCAGCCCTTTATGAAACACACCTGTGATCCCTTCACTCAGGTGGAGTAGGAAGCTCCGCACTATCCTGGGCTACACAGAAAGTCAAGGACAGCCTGGGCTACAGGGGACTCTTAAAAAAAAAAAAAAAAAAAGAAAAGGAAAGAAAAAAAAATCAGGATAAGAAGTGAATCTCTCTTCCTACTTAACACTTCTAATTTCTCTCCCCAGAGGCAGCCACCATCAACAGCTTCTGGTGTTACCTCCTGGAAATTTCCCGTGCAAATAAAGACAGAAAAGCTATGTGCATTGAAGTTAAATATGCTATCCACAGTTGGATATGTCTGTACAGGGCTTTGATCCCAGGACTGGGGAGGCAGACGCAGGCAGGTTGAGGCCAGCCTAACCTGGAATTCCTGGCCATCCAGGGACATTCAGAGAGACCCGTTTCAACTGCTCCCTCAAAACAAACAACAAACTCCATCAGCCTATCTGGATCAGCGGTTGCTCTGTAAAAACAGATTAATAAAATCGTGTGCGAGTGCTCGCCTTATAAAATGGTTGTGAGGGTTAAGCGACTTAAACTGCAAAGTATTTAGAACATTCCCTGGTCTGTGGCTGTCCAATCCTACACACACACACACACACACACACACACACGCACACACGCACACACGCACACACACACTCTGAATAGACACCAACGTGCCTCTTGCTGGGTCAAATAAGTGCAACAATCTCTGTGTGGAGGTTGTTAAGAGCACTGCTGGCAGCTCTTCCAGAGGACACTCTGCTCCCAGCACCCACATGAAGGCTCACAACCATCTGCAATTCCAGCTCCAGGGGAGCTGACGCCCTCTTCTGGCTTCCCAAAATACTGCAGGCATGTGGTGCTCACACACACACACACACACACACACACACGCACGCACACACAGGCAACTGCTCCACTCCAACACTTAAAATCTCTGTGGTATAAATTCCTGGTGGAGAAAGAACTAAATGAAAGGATATTTATTACACTTGGGAGGTTACATTCATTTGGGGGGAATGACTTGTCCCCAAAGCCATTGACTGGGAACAATGTCCATAGAGCAGTGAGAACTTGTTCCCCAGGCCCCTGGCCAAGGAAATGGAGACTGCCTAAACTGTCCACACGTCAAGTTTCTTTCTTTTTTTTTATTTAATATTTTTTTATTCTACATACTGATCCCAGTCTTTTTGTGTGTTTGTTTGTTTTTACCGGAAATCAGTTGACAGGCTTAGAGGCAGGAAGCAGTGGCTGCTGTAGAAACTGCCAAGCAGGTTCGAGTCTCCTCAGCCACCACCCTCCATGGCACATCTAGACTCTACAAGAGACTCACCCGGTGCCCAAAGCACCGGAGAATGACACCGGGGATGTACCATGGTAGCACACCCTTGCCTAGCGCCCACAATACATTCCCCAGCACCCAAAAGCCAAGTATAATAGTGCAAGCTGTTAATCCTAGCAGAGCCCGGTGGACCCCTGTGATTTTTGAGGCTAACGTGATTTACATAGTGTGTTCCTGGCCAGCCAGGGTTACACACTGAGACCCTGTCTCAAAGAAGAAAGGTAAGAATGAGCAAAGACTCTGGGAAGGCACGCGCGCGCGCGCGCGCACACACACACACACACACACACACCTTTGTAGCTGACTTCTGCCTCCTTGCCTCCATCTAACCGTGCAATTTTTAAATTTATTTAGGGAGTCCATCCTAGAAATTCCACTACGTGAATTCCCGAGATCCAACTCGGGTCCTCAGGCTTGGCGGCAAGCTCCAACTGACCCCTAGCCATCATTTTAGCAACTACCCCTACCACTTGCTAGGGAATTCTCCGCACTTCCGGGTTAGGCGAGCGGTTTCAAAACAGGCTTTTTCAGCATTCAGTGGTTGATCCAAAGGGCCAGCTCGGGAGTGGGACCCGTCACACCCGAATGGGAGGGAACCCAGGCTCCAGTCACCCTGATCCGATCGGATCCACGCACATCTGACCATCTGACCTGGTTTAGAACCATCGTAATAATAGTAAGCTCCGCCACCCCAGGGATCACCCAGGGATGCGGGCGGTGGGTGGTGGATGAATGGGCTCAGCGCACAGGTTTGGGCTGAGCGGGGATTAGGCTGCATCCCTGCGTGAGTCATGCCTGCGTGCGCGCATCCCCCTCGCTAAGCCGCAGCCCCTTCCTCCGCCTGACGCCGGCCCACGACTCCCGCCCCCGCGCGGCGGGGACCCGGGTGATTGCAAACAGCCGCCGGCCTCATTAGGAGACGTGTAATTAGCGGCTGGCTGATCCGAGAGCGGGGGCTAATTACCGCCGGGAGAGGCTGCGCCGCCGCCGGCCCACCGGGGGCGTCTGGCCCCGCGGCACCGTCCCGGCCGGCCGGGATCCGGCGTTTTCTCCTGGTGTCAGCCATTCACCACGGTTTACTAGTTCACCCGGCACCCACTGTGCTGGCCCGTGACCGCGAACCCCACCTCCACCCTAATAATTCCCAATAATCGGAACTAGAGGGAGAGGGTGAGGCCTCGGGGACTTGGAGTCCTCCCTGAGAGCACCCGGCCAGCGTAGGAGGACGGAGATCCGAACCCACGTCTACGGTCATATTACACTACATGGCAATGAGCACTGGAGTGGACTAGAGGGCGCCATGGCCGGGACTTTGCAGAAGAATGCTTCCAAGGTTGAACTCTGGGCTTGTTCCATAGTGGTCCGGGCCTGAGCCGCATCTATAAAATGGGCGCAGGGTTAGGGTTGGCAGACTGATACCAGGAAGTGTCACGGATGCTATTTTTAGGGAAGCAGGAGAGAGGAGAGGCCGTGGGTCCCAGGCTGGGTCTCTGGCACCGCCTACCGGCCAAGGAAACCGCTGGAGGCAGTGGTTTTGGATAGTTGGTGATTGCAGCGTTTGGTCCCCCGAGCCGAACCTGTGGGTGATGGGGAGACTGGGAACTTATTCCGGATCTTGCAAATGGTCATCTGCTAAAGACGTCGCGCTTTATGTCACCACACTCAGCCAGGCGAGGGGGTGACTGTTGCACAAATAACCAAGGTCACCGAGGTGAGGGCCGTGGCTGCCCAGTCTGACCACCTGAGTTTGATCCCCATGGTAGGAGAGGGGCAACTGTTGAAGAAAGCTCCAGCCGTGGCAAGTACACAACAAAGAACTGAATCTAATAGAAAATGACCTCGGGATAACAAGAGAGCCTGTAAACGATGTGTATGCGCGGACGCTGCCCGACTTAGCGGTGCATTTAAACACTGCAGGGCTGGGCAGATGAGGGGTACATTTGCAGCAGCACCGGTGGCTTACAGCCGTGTTGCACGGAACAGGCATGCTGTAAAATACATGCATACGTCAAGGCTAAGGTCTGGCAACACTATCCATGCCCACAGAAGTGGGAACAGCGGTCCCTCCTCTCTAGGGACGCTGGCGAGGGCCTAGGAACTTAGAGTGCTGAAGTGTTATTTACGTCACACAGATCTTCACTCGCAGCAGCACTCGGGAGGCAGAGGCCAGCCTGGTCTACAGAGTGAGTTCCAGGACAGCGCTGTTACACAGAGGAACGCTGCCTCAAAAAAAAAAAAAAAAAAAAAAAAAAAAGCCAACAAAAAGAATACGCACTTTACGTACAGGATTAAGGGAAGCACGGTGGCACACTCCTGTAATCCCAGCTCTAGGGAAACTGAGGCATAATTGCTTCGGGCTCCAACCCAGTCTGCGGTAGAGTGAGAACCTCTTGTGTTTGTTTTGTTTTTTAATCCCACACGCAGATATTCAAATGAATAACGTACCCCGCCCCTTTTGTTCTGGTTTCTCTGTGTAGCCTAGGCCGTCCTGGGCTCATAATCTCTATTCTCTGCAGAAAACAAAGGGCTGGGTGCGGCGGGCGGCGCACGTTGGCAATCCCAAAGCTTCTACAAGAGGCTCGGGGACCAGAAACCTGGCTGTGCAGAGCGTGTTTGCCCGCGGGAGGACCCCTGCTGCCTCCGGTTCGGGCCGGATTCCCGCCGCATTCTCCGGCTCACAGCTCACGGCCGGCCGCCGCGGGGTGCAAGCTCACCCTCGACTTCACTGAGATCCCCAGCGCCAGGCTGGGGCGGACGCATGCGCCCTCACGCTCCCCGCGGGAGGCGGGGCGTGGAGATTGACAGTGCGGCCGGCCTATCGGGGCCGAGTCCCGCCTCCCTCCCGCATCATCCGGAGCGGAGCGGACGCCATGGTGCGCTTCAAGCACAGGTGAGCGGCGCCTTCCCTCCCCGCACCCCCGCGGCGGCGGCGCGCCCGGGCCGCGCTCACCTCTCCGCCCGCCGCAGGTACCTTCTGTGCGAGCTGGTGTCGGAGGACGCGCGCTGCCGCCTGAGCCTGGACGACCGCGTGCTGAGCGGCCTCGTCCGCGACACGATCGCCCGGGTGCACGGGACCTTCGGCGCCGCCGCCTGCTCGGTGGGCTTTGCAGGTACGGGGTCGCCGCGGCCGGGGCGCACGGCGCGGTCGGCACGGTACTGGAGGATTCTAGAAAAGCCTGGGAGTCGCGCAGCATCACAAGGCGGAAGGTTCAGTACCCAGCACGGGGTGCGTGTGCTGGGGGTGGAGGGTGTTCCGTTTAAGTTACTAGGCTGGCTGAGTGGCAGTAGCCACGTAGAATTCCTAGTAAGAGCTATCACTTGACCGGTAGCGCGCTTTAAAATGTCAGATTTATCCCTTTAAGTACAAAGCGCCTTTGAGGGACGACTGCACAGGAGTTTTTCCATGTGGGAAAGCGTGATGAGGTCTGGAAGTACCCCCCCCCCAATGCCACATTTTAGCTCCTGGTACCGTAGGCTTAAACTTGAAAATTAAACACACGTAAACAAAGCTTTCTTGCTTTGGATGAGACCACGTTAGAGGGACCTACAGAACCCGGTTGTAATGACACTTGTCATGGTGGCCTTTATCGTTAACACTCGGGAGGCAGACAGGTTCTAGTCTAGCCAGGACATAATGGAACTCTCAAAGGAAAAACAAAACCGGTCAACATTTTTAACGAGACTGGTGGGGCTGGAGAGACTCAGCGATTGAGAGCATTTGTGGCTCCTTCAGAGGACCAGGGTTCCATTCCCAGCACCACATGGCGACAACCTAACTGGTCCTAGAGGAGTCACCCAGCGCATGTTCATGTTCGTATACGTGCATGCAGACAAAGCATCACCCCGTGTGACATTTGTCTCGAAAGGTCATTGGCACACACTGGGGTTTCCCTTTTGAGTTCTCCCTTCCTACTGTAGTTCGGTACCTCAATGCCTACACTGGAGTAGTGCTACTTCGATGTCGCAAGGATTTCTGCCAGCTTGTGTGGTCAGCTCTCCCTTTCATCACACATCTGGAGAACAAAGGACACCGATACCCATGTTTTTTCAACACACTACACGTGGGAGGTAAGAGTGGCAGTAGCTTGTGTATGGTGGCTCTTCTCATGAAGTAACGGTTTTGGACCTCAGTCCTGTTAGGTGGGTGGGTCCTCCTGCTGTTCCAATGAGGACAAGATGTTCCACCCACCCAGTCCCTGAAAGACAGTGACTGCTTCACAAGCTGTTGTCCACAAAAGCTCTCCTCATGCGCCAGGTACAATTAGAACCTGTCAGAAATTCCTGATTCAGTACAACCGGAGACAGCTGTTGATCCTGCTGCAGAACTGTACTGATGAAGGTAGGCAACAGGCCAGGGCAAACAGCACCTGAGGCTCCGTGGGTGAAATGACACCAAGGACTTCTCCCATTCCTCTAGGGGAGCGGGAAGCCATTAAGAAGTCTGTCTCAAGGAGCTGTCTACTGGAGAAAGAGTCTGCGGAAGAGCTTTCAGACAGTGCTGGTGAGGAGGCTATGGAAGCAATGGAGTGACAGTTTCCAGGCCCACCTGTGGAACTGCAAAACTGTCCCCAGACTGACTACCAACCAGAGCATGGGGGACCTTGGAACGGAGGACTCCATGCTCCTGGAGGCTTTGTACTGACCATTTGAATGTAATCGCCGAGCTGAGTGGTAGAATAAACAAATAGTTTTGGCTTCTAGAGCAACATTCATAAACCACAAAAAGTGCCTGTATGGTTCATGCTTGGCCAGGTCTCCTTCCTCTATCACACTGGCCTTGAATGCGCTCCCTGTTGGTACTGGATGGATTTTAAGTATTCCTAGACCCTTAATATGAGAACACATACAAACCAGGGTGTGACTGTGCGCTCCTTTAATCCCTGGAGGAGGAGGCAGAGGCAGGCAGATCTGTTTGTGGCCAGCCTGGTCTACATAGTGAGTTCCAGAACATCCGGGAATACACAGATAAAGTGTTTGAGGGTGGGGTGGGCTCATGTAAAGCAGAACTAGCGGTGAAAAACCAACTACACTTGCACAATCCTAAGTCAGTACTGTGTCCTAGAACCGCAGACACCAGGAAACCTAGCTGACCATCGTTTGGGTGACTCGATAGGAAATGCTGCTTTCAGATGGTCCCAATGAGGCAGCAATGTAACCCTACCATGTGGGAGGTTTTCTGAAAGAGAATGACGCACATGTATTAAATACTTTGGTCTCCAGATGGTGTGACTGTTTGGGAAGGACGGGAAGGTGGGGCCTTGTTGGAGGAGCTGTTATGGGGTGTGCTTCAAAAGCCTACACCATTCCCAGTTAGCTCTCTGCCTCCTGCTAATGGGTCAGATACAAGCTGTCAACGACTTCTGTAGCAATATGCCGCTTCCCATGACTCACCCTTCATGGTGGTCTGGATAGATATGGCCCCCATAAAGTCGTGTTTGAGCGCTTGGCACACACAGGGAGTGGCGCTGTAGGAGGTAAGGCCTTGCTGGAGGAACAGCCCCTTCTCCAGCACCAAGGTCTGCCTGCATGCTGCCAAATGTGGTGATGTACTATTTATGATTTAATAAAGACTGCCTGAAATAATCAGAAAGCAAAGCCAGCCACACTAGTTAGCTGTAGAAGCTAGGCAATGGCGGCCACACCTTTAATCCCAGCACTCAGGAGACAAAGGCAGACAGATCTGAGTTCAAGGCCACTACAGGAGCTTATACTTTTAATCGAGCACTAGGGAGGTGGAGACAGGAGTGATATGGCCTGGTGGAGAGAGGAATAAGAGGAGGAGACAGGAACAGAGAGCTTTTGCCTCTCAGGATTGGTGGAGACAGGATTGCCGTTTCAGCTTGTTAGATAGAGCTAAGATCCACTTGGCTGCTTCTCTGATCTTCAGCTTGAACCCCAATATCAGTATTTGGGTCCTTTATTTTTCATGTTCCCTATAAATAATAGACTAGACGTCTGAAACTGTAAACAGACCCAATAGCATCTCTTCACAGCAATAAAAGACACCCTCTATGCCTCCATTAAACCACTGTTCCTTAAAAGCAGCTTGGAGTCAGGGCTGGAGAGATGGCTCAGAGGTTAAGAGCACTGGCTGCTCTTCCTGAGGACACTTGAGTTCAATTCCCAGCAACTACATGGTGGCTCACAACCACTCACAATGATCTCCTGTGGGGTCTGGTGCCCCCTTCTGGCATGAAGTAGCACATGCAGATGAAAAAAAAGAGAAAAAGCTGAGCATTGGTGGGATAATCCCAGCACTAGGGAGCAGAGGCAGGCAGAGCTCTGAGTTCAAGGCCATCCTGGTTTACAAAGCTACAGAGAAAGAAACCCTGTCTAGAAAAATTTAAAAAACAAGAAAAAACTAACCTACAGATGAACTAAGCTTGGCAGGAAGGCATCTCTTGTGAGTGTCAATACTTTATTTTGGTGTAAAGACGGGAAGCTGGAAAATACACTGTATTTAAAATTTTCTTGGTTCCCCCTCACATTGTGGAAACCCCCTCCCCCCGCCCCAAGCTAATCAATCTGTTCAAACTCAAATACTTAAAAATTACAGCAGCAAAACAAAAGCACAGAAAAGAAACCGGGTGGAGGCGGTGCCTGGGTGAGCAGGTAGTGTCACTTGGTGTGGACGACAGAGGTGCTGAACAGGAGCTTCTGTTTCTGCTTCTTCCGTTTCTTCCCTCCTCTGTCTTCTGCAGGAAACACAAGCCTCAGTGCTCGAGCTCACTCGCTGGTGCTCGCTCTCTCTCACACGCACGCACGCGCGCACAGGGTGAGTGCAGGGTTCACTACCACTCCACGGGCACTGTGAGGTTAATGTTGGTCATCACCCTCAACCGACTCCAGTTTCGGAAGTGCAGGGCTGTGCAGATGGCCAGCGCCTCGGTCATCACTACCGCCCCCCCATGGAGAGGGACAGGCATATTGTAGCTAAGCTGAGCCCAGTGCTGAGTGAGTTTCCCCGCTCTTACCAGAGAGGGGGTCTGCAGTAGCTGGTGCGTCCAATTTCATAAAGGCCGCTTCCATAGCTTGGCTGAAGGAATTCTGGAAACTGGGCACAGGAACACGGTCAGAGTTATCACTCTCCCCGTCGCTGTCCACAGGGGCCGGAGGAACCAAACTGTTTTCATCTGAAAACAAAAGTTGAAATTCTGGAACTGTCACTGGAAGGGGCTGGACCTCACTGGCCTTCCCTGCCCGGCTCTCACCTTTCTTGGGAGCAGCTCTGGGCCACACGTCTGCTTTTGCTTTCCCGACCCTCAGCATCTGCCAAGTAGGGACAGAAGGAAGAACGTCAACTTCTGACCAATGTCCTTTCCCAGCGTCAACCTCCCACAGACTGTCAGCCTCTCCAGTGCCATGTCTCCCCTGCCGTGACTAGTCAGACAGTGGTGTAACCAAGGCACAGCCCCAAGGGACTTTACTCCTTAGGAATGGGTGAAGAATACAGGACCGTTCATGAGGTTCTCACTCAGTCTTAATTAGGAATGCTTTCCTGAAGGACTTCCCTGTCCTCGAGGAACCTAAATCCACCCAAGCTGGTGGTTTACACCTACAAACCCAGTATTTGGATGGCTGAGGCAGGAGGATTACCCACAATTCAAAGCCAGCTACTCGGATTATAGGAGTTTAAGGCTAGAATGGGGCATAGAGATCCACCTCAAAAAACAAAAATAACTAAAAACAAAATTTAGAGTAAGTAGCACATACGGTACCTTCCAGTTTCTTTCTATTTTTGGAGGGCGTGGGAACAGGTGTCCCTGCATAGCCCTGGCTGTCCTGTCCTGTCCTCACTGTGTAGACCGGCCTGCCTCTGCCGGGATTACAGGCATGTGCTGCCGTATCCGTCCGCCTTCCAACTGAAGGTGGTTATCCGGGTCACTGCGCCCCTGCTCTCTAACAGCCCAGCGGTGCTCTTTACCCTGTTACCCCCAAATACGTCCTCAATCATCACTGTTTAGATGAGGTCACAGACAGTTACTCCATAAATATGCTAAGTCCCAACAGTCATCTAGACTAGTGAGTCTTAACTTTCCTAATGCTGTGACCTTTAACACAGTTCCCCATGCTGTGGTGGCCCCGACCATGACATTATTTTTGTTGCTACTTCGTAACTGTAATTTTGCTACTGTTGTGAACTGTAGATTCCTGATCTGTGACCCCCAGGTTGAGAACTCATCTGGCTTCGTGTATGGGCACCTGTGGAGCAGCTACCCCATCTGTCTCCATTATCTGAGCACAGATACACCAAGTATTCCCGCCTGACCACCAAGAACGTGGCAGTGGCTAATTACAGGGTAAAACACAATGACCTTTCCTGCGCAAGATGCAGAGGATTCATTCTACATTACATACATACCATCTACACCCATGGTCCTAGAAGCAGTTGAAATTAAACTGACGAGTCCCTCACCTAGGACACTGTCCACGGTCTGAGAATTTAATGATCTTAAATACTTAAACCTTGGATCCGCAACAACTACTATGAACTTTCTCTTGAGGAGTCTCCCACCCTTATGGTCTGGTTGCTGGCTGCCCTCTCCATGCATCTGCCCTCAACTACTCCTTGCTGCCTACAAGTTCCAGGAGGCAGCAATCCCTGGACGAGGTTCCCAGACAAGCAGCAGAGTGCCTATGGCTGCTGTACAAGCAAAGCTTTACCTGGGCAAAGGAAAGGAAGGAAGAGTCTTCCTCCAGGCTTCCGACACAGAAGGAGGGCCCGCCCTGACTGGCGGTGGGTGACAAAGGGGTCAACAGAAGGTCTGAAAGGGAACCAGAGATCTGGTTACATGAGTCACGCACGAGTCGCGCTCCAAAGAGTGAGCATCCTCTGAACAGGGAAGAAGCCAGGCTCGGTGGCTCAGGCCTGGAACCCCACAACTCTGGAGGCTAAGGTAGGAGGGTGTTTGATGTTTGGCTCTGGCAACGCAGTGAGCTCCACACCAGCCTGGTCTCTCTGACCTTGTCTCAGAGAGGGCGGGGAAGAGGAAGAGCGGGAGAGATAATGTAAATCCATGATGGCACTGTTAACCCTGCCATATCCTTACACAACAAGAACACTGTGTATCAGCCGCAGCAGGGAACAGAGATGGAGCTGTAACCCTGGTTGCAGCACAGCAGGACAGCCCTTCCCACAGGACAGGGCGGCCCAAGCTAGGGGGCCTCCTGACTGCCACCCTCGCAGTCAGCTGCGAGGCAGCTGCATCATGAGCTCAAAGCCAGTCTGGGCTACATTGCAAGCTTGTCTCAAAACAGAACAACAAAAGGTTGGTTCTCAAAGACTAGTTCTTTGCTATGCACTGGTTTTATATGGATAGACAACTTCAAGGAAAAAAAAAAAAAAAAAATCCAGATCTCCCTTTATGGCGGGCCACTATGGCATGGAAATACACAGGATTCAACACACACACACACACACACACACACCCCAAGTTAATCTTCCTCAGAGTCCTTTCTTACCCACAGTGGCATCTCACATATCAGTCTCTCTACCGCCTCGGGTACTGCTAGGCAAGGGGCGCCACGACTCACCCAATGCCTTTTGGCGGTATCACTCTGAGGACCAATCTATCCTATTACCGGATGCCTTAGAAACCCAGACTTGCAAACAGACAAACCCTGGCGTATGAGAACACTCTCCACCCCACAGACAGGGTACCCAGCAATTCATAGCATTCACTCAGGCAACAGCTTCCTAGTTAACTGGAAGAGCATCATGGTTAGACCGTCCCTCAAAACCAAGAATTAGACCGAGTTCCTACCACTAAAGTACCCGTACTATTGGTCTCAGTACCTGTGGCGGCTAGTTTTTATGTCAACTTTGCACAAACCACGGTCAATGAGAAGAAAAACTCCTAACTGCACTGAGACAATGCCTCCATAGGACTTGCCTAGAGGCAGCTAACTCTGTCGGGCATTGACAACTGATGTCCAGGGCCCAGTGTACCGTGGCAGGTGGCCCACAGAGAGCCTATAAATCAACATTTAACTGAGCCATTCCCCTCCTGTGCATTCAGTAGCCCCCCCTACTGATCACAATCAATATTACAACAGACATTAACAAACATGCTCAAACATGAAAATCAAGAGAAGAAAACAAACAAAGCAACAAATAACTCAGAACAGATGGGTCAGAGGAAATGAACTGTGTTCAGGTTTTGAGAAGCAAGCAAGGTCTATGCCAGTATAACCAACGGGAAAGGGCGATGAAGTCACACAATCAATGGAGCTCACCACCAACTGTCAACGTCTTTCCCTTAGATGTCACATTATGCCAAGTTGGTCAGAGTTGTAAATTCAGCCTGACTTTGCGTTAGGGCTGAGAGTTGGTTCAGCAGTCAGAGCACTTGTTGCCACACCTGGGCGTGGCTCCCACAGCCACAGGTGGCGGACAATCATCTGTAACCCCCGTTTGAGGACCTCTAGGGGCACCAGGCATACACATGCCCACATACATGCATACAGGCAAACATTCACACATTTAAAAAATTAAATCAAACTAAAGCTCTAGGAAGTAGCAGGACTCATGGAAGTGTGAGTCCTTTACCTGCAGGAGAACTGGGACTTCTGCTGTGAGGAGGAGGAGAAAGGGCCCCATGGCCCTCGGTGCTGGTGGGGCCCGGAGCAGAGCCAGAGGGGCAGGCGCAGGGACTGAAGGCAGGAAACTGCTGAAGGTTCTCCAGCGGAATGTGGACTTCAGGGTCTGCAAAGCAAGGTGAGGGTAAGCCCACAACACAAGTGTCTGGGTTTTCTGTAGAGGGTCTGGAAGGCCTAGAGGATGCAAACAACTATGAATCTACGTCTAGTATAATCCAGCACTCAGAAGGCTGACACAGTAAAAGTAAACTGAGGGCCACCCTAGGCTCTATGAACCAGGCAATCCTACTCCTCAAAAAGAGAAGACAGGTTGTGGTGCTCGAGCCTGAACCTACACAATTTCAGCACTCAGCAGACAGACTTAGCTCAAGGTCAGTCAGGTCTACACTGTAAGTAGTTTCAGGCTAAACAGTGAGCTGTTGTCTCAAAAACAAAACAACAAAAACTTTAATAAAACATACTTAATGAAGAAAGAAGAGGAAAAAAAGACAATAAAAAAAAACTGTTCGAGACACATGTTTCCTCAAGTTAAGGGGTGTATCCGCTACAAAGTCCCAGACGCCCAAGCATAACTCACTGTACCCTAACACATCACCCATTTAGTTTGCCGCACAGGACAGAGCCAGGGGAGCTCAGTCCTTTCCCCGGGAAAGTCCTCATTTTCTTTCTGTTCTTCTTTGGTTTTCTTTTTTTCCCCTGGGACAGAGTTTCTCAGTCCTGGCTGACCTGGACCTCACTCTATAAACCAGGCTGGACTCAAACTCAGAGATCCACCTGCCTCAGCCTCCAAGTGAGTGCTGGGATTAAAGGTGTGTACCAATGCCCTGCCTTAATCTTTTCTCTTTTTAATTAATTTTTATTTAAAGTTAAAAACAATCTTTTTGCATGGGAAAGAACTAAAGAAAGCAAATGTCAGAGCATAAACGAGAACCCTGACTCACACGGCTGAGCAAACGCAAGAGCTCTAGAACTTACACCTGCCCTGTCTCTTGTTCTCCTCCATTTCAATCCTGCGCTCTCGGCGACGTTCCTCTCGAGCCTTCTTCTGGCGCTGACGCTTCCTCTTCTCGATGTCATCTGTGGGTTGGTAACGTAAGAAAGCCAGATCCCCCACCATTAACTCTTCGTGAGTGGCCAGTGGGGCACCTGGACTAGACAAGTGTTTCAGGGCACAGCTCAAAGCCCTCCTCCCACACTAGGTTCCGGGACACAGAAAAGCAAAACAGGTTTCTCACCTGAGAACATGTCTAGGGTTTCCTTAGAGACCACAGGAGGCTGCAGAGCCAGTTCACAGATGCTGAATTCACAGGTGAGTGGCAAGTGAGAGAGATACCTATGGCGCTGTCGAACATCCTACATTGGAAACAGAACCGATGCTCAACTGCCCTGGAGCGCAGAGGGTCCCCCCGAACCCCAGCGGCCTGCTCCTTAGAAAGCCAGGCACCACGGCAGCCTCCAGTTAGAGCGTGCACCAGACTCAGTTCTCTGGATTGAGCTACAAGTGAGTACCCTGAGCCCAGGAGAAACGCCCTCTTTGCTGCCCGCTGTTTCTAACTGCCAAGGGCCACACAATCACAATCAGAGGGAGAAGAGGGAAGAGCAAAGATGCCTAACGACAATGCAACAAGAATGGCCTGGACCTGGGCCCAGCGACAGAACCAATGACAAAGGTAAACAAGAGCCCCAGAGAGTGGAGTGTGCCTGGGACACTAAGCCGAAGCCTGCCCACTGAGGTCCCTACTCCTTTTCTGGGTTTATTACGTGCGTGTCTGATGGCACCCAAGCTAAAATCTACTTCCTGCCATATGCCTTTCATCCCAGCACTGGAGAGAGGCGGTAGTGATCTCTGAATTCGAGGCCAGCCTGGACCTCAGAGTGATTTTCATTTAACTTAAAACTTTGGGGTTTTGAACACATTTCTTTCAAGCAGTAAGCAAAGAGAAAAGGCTAGCCTCATCTACACAGTAAGTTCTAGGATAGCTAGAGCTACATTACAAAACCCTGTCTCAAAAAATAAAATAAATTTAAAGGGGGGATGGGGTGGGCCAAGAACAAATTTCAAATGGAATCAGCATCACAAACCACAGAAAATGCCCCCGGGGAAGCAGGGCAGTACAGGTGGCATTGAGTCCTGGCACGATCTGAGAGCAGCATCTAACAGTGGCCCAATTCACTGCACATCACCAACAGAAAGATGGGAACATCAGATTGCAGGGTTAGAGGTACGGCTCAGTGATACAATGGCCAGCACACACAGAGCTTTGGCTGGGTTGTTACTGAGGATTACAACAAACTTAAATAAAAAACGATCAAAACAAACTGCACTGGAAGCAGGAGCATCAGAAGCCCAGGCTGCAGGAGACACCATCTCGAAATCCAATAGCGGTCAAGCATGGGACCCACACCTTTAATCCCAGTGCTTGGGAGACAGAGGCAGGCAGATCTGAGTATGAGGCCAGTCTGGCCTACAGAGCAAGTTTCAGGACAGCCAGGGCTACATAAGAGACCCTGCCTCAAAAATAAACACACGAGAAAGCACAACAAATAAACACACGAAGGGCTTTAAAGGTTTTTAGCCTTACTGGTAAGTAAGGCCCACCCCAAGAGCTTAGGCTCATGTCACAGTCTGCTCTTTCCTCTACAGAAAGCCTTACCTCAGACATGGAATACCCAGCAATCTCTACCACGGTTGCGGAGATCTTCTCTGGGCTCTGCTCCAGACTGCCGTATTCCCGCACAAGGCAGCGCACGTTGACAGGGTGCAGGAACATGTGTTGTCCATCCTCCGCTAAGGATAAGAGCTCCCGTCACTCAAAGCCTGGCCAGACTTCAACATGCGCCTCTCCCAGCTAGGCCTGCCACCCCCACTCGCTGATGGAAAGCAGGGCGCCAACCCCGGGGTCTCTAGCAAAGACCCCGCCCCTTTCAGATACCTCCGAGCACAGCAGCCCTCCTCCCTGGGGACCCTCACCTTGGTAGAAGTAGTAGCAAGGAGAGCTGCCCAGCTGGGTGAGGCCCGGCTTAGCGATGGGTCCCTCCTGGCCTGGCTCCTCCCCAAGATGGTCATCTGCTACCTCTGAGTCCTCACAGGCTTCTGGCAACCCCTCAGGTTCGGGCTCAGACACCGCTTCCTCCTCTTCTACCGAAGGGAGAGCGAGAGGACGAGGGGGGTCCAGAGAACAAACTTGTGCAGTTTCCTCCTCGAAAGCAGAGAGATACTCTAGCACACCCTGTTGGTTGGGACAAACCGTAGGTCAACAGAAAGTACGATGTCATGTTTCATGAAACGGTGTGGCTAAGATAGACCTAGATCCCGGATATTCATCTGAGCTGTCACCGTCACCACCCCGGGAAAAGCTGACAGGCCTGGTCGCAAGGACACAGGCAGCAGTCACCACCCCTCCCTCGCACGAGTCAGTCACCGACTCCGGGCAGGCGCGCTGACCTTCCTGCGCTGGGGAGCAGAGTCCTGTGCCGGGGGAGCCATCAGCACCAGTTGCTTCAGAGCGGCCGCAACACCAGTGTCCTCCCCGCTGCCTCCGGCTACTCCAGACAGAGCCTCTTCCCGAACCTGAGAGCAGCAGAGGAGAGCAGTGATTCCTACAGCTCAGGTTAAGAATTCTATGTTCTCCACACCGTTAACAAGTGCTGCTAAGACGTGGTGGGCAAACCATAATACTCTCTACAATGTCTCCCAAAACACTTGGATAACTCGAGCATTTTCCCAGACAAAGAAAAATAAAGACAACCTTGTTTATTTACTAAGAACACAGCTCAAACAGGAACCCACTGTCACAGGGAGCCATAAAAACATTCCGACTGTTACTTCTAGCTCTGGGAGAGCCTGAAAGCTCTAAGTGGCCCTTCCTTCCTATCCCCACCTAACTGGCCTTTTCCGGAGCGGAGGGAGCCTGCTTTTCAGCCCCGTGTACTCACCCTAACCTCCTGGATAGCGGCCTCTACGAAGCAGGACTCAGGGGTGTGCTTCTCCTCCGCCAGCTGTCGCTCCAGCGCAGCCCTCTCCTCTAGGACCACACGCTGTAGCACCTGCTCCTTCGAGGCCAGCAGAAGCTTGGAGTACTGACTGTGCTGTTCGTCTGCAAGAAAGAAGGGCGACGGATCACAAAACACAGCTCTCACAGGGGAAGGAAGGAGGTGCTGTCTCACACATGCTTTTCTGCCCCAGATTCCTCCTGGGGGGGGGGGAGAAGAGAGGGGAGGGAGGAGGAGAGAGAGGAAGGAGGGAGGGAGGGAGAGAGAGATTTGGTATAACTTCCTGGAAACATTAACGATAATCTTTAAAGGAGGTTAATTCACAAAGTCTAAGAAATCAGAAAAAAGGGGCTGGAGAGAAGGCTCAGCAGTTAAGAGCACTGACTGCTCTTCCAAAGGACCCAGGTTCAATTCCCAGCACCCACATGGCAGCTTACAACTCTCTGTAACTCCAAGATCTGACATCCTCACACAGACATACACGAAGGCAAAAACAGGGTGGGGGGAACAGCCTCCTAATGTCTAGTCATCTCACACTTAGCATAAGGAATGCTTAGAAAGATGGTTCTAGAAGATGAGGCACTAGTGATGTGAACAAATACCACTGTATATTCTGTGTTAAGAAAGAAACGGGCTGGAGGGAGGGGCAGCTCAGCAGTTAAAAGCCCTGGCTGCTCTTTCAAGACTGCAGTTTGATTCCTAACTCCTACAGAACAGCTCACAATGGTCTCTAGTACCGGTTCCATGGGAGTCGGATTCCCTGTTCCTGTGTGCGTACGGCACTGCACCCACAATGCACAGACACACGAGACAGAAAATAAAATAATTTTAAAAATAAAACAAATCTGAGGCCAACATGGTTTACATACTCTGTTACAGGACAGCTGGAGCTATATAATGAGACCCTGTCTTCAAAACAAAATCCTCATACCATAAAAAACAAAACAATACCTGTCAAACTGGCATATCTAAACCCCAATCTCACAAGATACGAGTGAATTGAAGCCTAACTGGGTACCTTTAAGGACAGGCTCATGGATAACTATTTCCTATTCCCTTCCCTAATACTTTTTGGTTGGTTTTTGTTTCTCTGTGACACAGTCCTGGCTGTCCTCACCCTGCAGACCAGGGTGGCTCAAACTCCCTGAGACCCACCTGCCTCTGCCTCCCGAGCGCTGGGATTCAGGCGTGCACCGCCCGGCTGGCTCCTCCCTGCCCTATGTGTGCTCTCTCACGCTGGGAGACCACCCTGCTCGCCCCTTGCCTTTGTTTTGAGCCAAGTTCTCATTACAAGGCCAAGGCTAAATAAAACTGGTTTAGCCAAAGGATGGATTTTTGTTGTTGTTGTTTTTGCTTTTGAGACAGGGTTTTCCTGTGTAGCCTGGCTGTCCTGAAAGTCACTGTGTAGACAAAGCTGGCTTTGAACTCACAGAGATCCCCCTGCCTCTGCCACCTCCTCCACCCAGCGCACACGCTCACCTCCCAGGTGAATGGGATGGTCCACACTCATCCACTTGGATTTAGGCAAGGCCACCAACACTCCTTTCTTCCTCTTCATCAGCTGCATTGTGATGGTGTCGCCCACCGCATACTGGCGTGACTCTGTGGCAACAACACTGAGACAAAGACATTGCTGAGCTGGAGCAGAGTGAGGACGCAGCAGCCTCGGGGCTCAGGCACCTCTCGAGGCCCTTCTTATGCACAGGGCTGGAGCCTCACCTCTTGAGGTCCTTCTTATGCACCGAGCTGTAGCAGATGGGACATTTACTCCAGGCTTTCTCACTGAGTGAGAGGTAGTGCAGGATGCACGTCCAGCAGAAGATGTGCCCGCAGCGGGTGATCTTGGCTGCAGTGGGTGGGTAGAGGCATATTGGGCAAGACGGCACTTCATGGCTACAGATGCGCTGCAACAGTGACAGGGCAGGGCACTGCTTTCAGAGCGGGCCAGCCAGAGGCCAGCGTCAGCCTCACATCTCTTCAGTAAACTGTAGCAGAGCCGGCTGGAGAGCTGGGCAGCCGGAGCGCTTGCCTGCCTGCCTGCCTGCCTGCCGACAGTGGCGTCTGAATGACAGCGGATGGCCCCTCACCATTCATTCCCATTGGTTTGAAATGTAAGCTCTCAAGTGCTGCTCTAGCACCACGCCTGCTACCATGTCCCCTCGGGGCAGTCATGGACTCACCGTCTGAAGCTGTAAACACTGCCCAATTACAGCTTCCTCTGTAGGCCATGTCTCATCACAGCCACAGGAAAGACACTGCTCCTGGGGAGGACCCAGGTTCGGCTGGCAGCACTCACACAGGCACCAGGCCTGCACAGTGTACGAGCACACAGGAAAGCACGCACACGCACTACAGTAAAATAAATGACGCTGGCTGAATACAGGTGTGAGGACAGACACACTGTAAGCAAATTAAGAAAGCCAGAATCACCGGCTAACCCAGCAGGACGGGGTAGCAGACACTTGGGAGGGCTCCACATTACAGAGAATAGCAAATCACATGACCCCATTCACAGCTGTTAAGTATATACTTTACAGAAGACTAAAAGCCCAGATGTAATTTACTGATAACTTCCAACAGAGTAGTGAAAACCTTCACTTTGTGTTTAACCATGTACATAAAAATGTTTTTTTTTTCGTAGAAAGCATTCTATGTCACTGTACAAATATTTGAAGTAACAGAGTCCAAATTTGTCAGAAGAACATACCAAGTAAGAGTACTTGTTATTTTGAAAGTAACTACATCATACACCCGTTAGGATCAGCAAGGAAACGCACGCCCATAACCTCAGCGGAACGCAAGGCGGTAGGAGCAGCCTGCAAAGATGCAGTCCCCTGGTAATCAATCTGACACCAATCATGGCAGGGGCTGCCGACGAGGAAATGCCCATGTGCCTGAGCTCACCCTGGCTACGAGGGTCAGCGGAGCCCCTCTAACAGGCCCCTGTCAGGGCTTCCTCACGAGTGACTGACGGGCAGGCAGGCTTATACGCCCCTGGAGCAGAGCCTTCCACATCCCAAGTCAGCTCGGTAACAAAATGGACTCAAGAGGAACAAGGGACTGACCTCTGACCTCCGGGGCACAGGTGTCCCCCCACTCCCAGTCAAACTGCACCCAGGGTTTACACCGCCCGTGGCCGCTGAGTCCCACACAGCCTCTCTGGCTCCCGTGAAGCCACTCACCACTTGTTGCACAAAGTCCCAGTTGACGAGGGTGTCAGGGTCGGCAAAATGGGCTGTGTAGTCCTGGTCTTCAGACACCACAAACTGGCAGCTACAGGGAGCAGGACACAGGCAGAGGGGACGGTCAGAACCGCCAGGGCCGCGGCAGAAACTCACCACCCCCAGGCGTCCGATGCCGGATAAGAGCAGCCAGCCGAGGCTGCCAGGCTTGGGAAGTGTGACCCCAGGTGTCAGCCGCAGGTCTGAGCCCTGGCTCCACGACGAGTGTAGACCCGGGGCAGATGCCTAAATGCATCCACTCTCCGCTTCCACGCCCAGCCAAGTTCCCTGTTGTTCTCCCCTGAACTAAAATTAACCCAGACCGAGACCTCCTCCCAACCCTCGGACTCTATGTACACGGCTCATCTTCAAGGTAGTAGAAAGCTGTTCTCAATCACTGGAGAGCAGCCTGCACTGAAGTTCACACTGGTGCTTTAGTTCACACCCAAGGTCCAAGCCTCTAACGACTCACAAAAGGGGAAGGAAGGGTATGGACGCCGTCCCTGCCTACTCCATCTCTATTGGTTCCTAGCAATGAGCCTTCCTAGAACTGTGGAGACTGTACAGCCTCCACATGTACAACAGGGAAACACACAAATAAATGCTGGAAGACGGCAGTTTCGTCAGGAGGTCAAAGCTGCCTGTGACTCCAGTTAAAAGGGAACTGGAAGACTGTCCCCCTTCCAACACCAGCATCATGACACATAACTCTCTCACACACAATAAAGTAAAATCTCAGGAGAAACAGAATGCCTTCCTTTTTATTAACTAAAAATAAAGGTTAACAAAACTGTGTGTATGGGTGTTTTGCCTGCATATAACTGTGCACCATCTGAATGCAGTGCCTTTAGAGACCACAAGAGGGCATCAGATGCCTTGGCACTAAAGTTACAGACGGCTGTGAGCTGCCATGTGGGTCCAGGTGATGGCAGCAAATGCTTTTAACAGGCCTCTAATCCCAGCACTCGGGAGGCAGAGGCAGGCAGATTTCTGTGAGTTCGAGGCCAGCCTGGTCTACAGAGTGAGTTCCAGGATAGGCTCTAAAACAATACAGAGAAGCCCTGTCTCAAAAAACCAAAAGCCAAAAACAACAACAACAAAAGGAACCTGGGTCCTCTAGAGAAGCCAGTGCTCTTTCTTAACCTTGGAGCTACCTCTCCAGTCCCCATTGTGCTAGCTTTGTGCCTGGTAACTTGTAAAGCCTTGAGAGAGCCACGGTTTCCCCACACAATGGAGCTAGGACTCAAAGGCGAAGAAATGTATGTGTGAGCCCCGTAAGGGAAAGAACCCCAGCACTGGAGTCAAGTGTGCCCTGAGAAAACAGGAGCTAAACAAAAGAACACACTGGCCTATCCCCAAGAAGGGCTCACAAAAGGCCCGGCTGCCCCTCGGCCCCTCCTCTAAGCTAAGCGCACAAGCGCATGAGTCAGCGCGCTGCTCCTTTCTGGCCCCCACCCTCCCTGGACCCATGATGCCTTCCCAGTCCACTGCCCAGCAGCACTCAGACCACACACCGTTCCTTCCCAGCCCGGAAGTACTCACTCAAGCACTATGTTCTCTCAGCATTCACACAGGAATGTGACAGAGAACAGCATCAATCTCTTCCCTGTAATAGTTCAGAGGAAAGCTTCCTCCCAGAAATTCAACCGTCTAAGCACACTTACTTTTATTTCTTCCCTAGAAGTGGGGATACTCACTTGGCCTGTAAAAAAAGTTCCTTGTTGAAAGGTTTCTGTCCCCACTTGTTCCTTTTTCCCCAGCTGCCGTGTCCACCGCCTTCAAAGTGGCCTGTCTGGCCACGGGGTTCAAAGGTGAAATTTAACAAGTGGTTCAGGTTGATCTTCTTAGGGCCAGAGAACTGGGCAGGGCTAAACTCTGCCCGCTGAGCCTCTGCTACCTACAAAGAATGGCACCATTGTAGAATGAAAGGGTTCACCAAATGACAGCAGAAACCAGGGCATCCCCGTTCCCACATGGCTAAAACAACGCAACACCGGCCTAAATGCAGGCCTAAACTCGGTATGGAAGTCAAGAGAGGAATGCCTTTAGCATCTCCTTAGCCTGACCCAACCTGCTCTGTGCCACACGCTTCTCTAACCATCCAGAAGCACGAAGGGTCTCCCTGGGTAGCCTTGGCTGTCCTCCAACTCAGAGATCTGCCTGCCTCTGTTCCCTGACTGCTGGGACTAAAGGTCAGAACCACACAGCTGGTTCTTCTTTAACCTTTTTATTAAAAAACAAAACAAAAACAAAAAACACCATCGTTTTTATTTCTGAGACAGGGTTTCTTTATGTATCCCTGGCAGTTCTAGAACTCGCTCTGTAGACCAGGCGGCCTCAAACTCACAGAGATCCACCTGCCTCTGCCTCCCCAGTGCTGGGATTACAGGCGTGTGTCACGCCTGGCTAGTCTCCCAATATTTCTTTTTACACACAAGCATAAACCCTGGAGTTCTAACAGAGGCAGAAATGACACTTTCACTGTAGTCCAATGTGAAGGGTTAATAGGCCATGCATGCACACAAGCTGAAGGACCTTAAGAGGTGCTCATTCCTACAATGCTAGCACTTAAGAAAACAAATCAAAACTGACAGAAACCAAGGAAGACACAATGGAACACACTGGAAGGACCTGTTATTCAGGAGTACAAATGTGCAGCCTGAGGAATTCCACACATAAAGTTTCATCACAACCCTTCAAAACAAATACAGCTGCCAAGTGTGGTGGTTCATGCCTATAACTGCAACACTTAAGAGGTAAAGGCAGAACACTACTGCAAGCTGGGGGCTAGCCTGTGCTACACAGTAAGTTCCAGGCCAGCCTGACTATAAAGTATCTCCAGAAAACAAACAAACCAGCTATGGTATACCATTAGACAACTTTATTCCCACACAGCACCAAGCCCAGATCTACGAGTTGTACTGCAGGGGCTGGGGAGGTGATGGATGGACGGATGGCTTAGTGCTGAGGAGTGCCAAATGCTCTTGCACAAAACAAGGTTTGCGTCCCAGCACCCACACTCCCAAACACCCATTAACTCCAGTTCCAGGGATCCAACACCCCATTCTGTTTCGGAGATTTGTTTGTACTGTTGCTCTGAGAGTCCAAGTGCACACTCAGGCCAGGACAAACCATAGCCTTGAGAGCAGAGAGGAAGGAGGGCTTTTTCCTTCTGGGAAGGTGAAGAGGATTACACGTCCCTCTGTCGATCTGTGGCTCTGTCAGGTTACACCCTAATTATCTGACTCCCGAGCTTTGTTAGTAAAATAAAAGCAGGCAAGCAGTCACTACATCTGGCTACCCTCTTCCGACCTCACGAAGTGTCGTGCACAGACAGACTCATGGCTCAGGGGTAAAGAGCACTGGCTGCTCTTCCACAGGTCTTTTCTTGAGTTCAATTCCCAGCACCCATTTGGTGGCTCACAACCACCTATAGTGAGATCTGGCGCCCTCTTCTGGTGTGCAGGAATACACACAGGCAGAACACTGTATACATAATAATAAATCTTTTAAAAACATCACATTCATATATACACATACATATACATATATATCTTTTTAAAGATGTCCAGGGGCTGGAGAGAAGGCTCAGCAGTTAAGGACACCTGTTGGTCACATTCATGTATACACATACATACACATATGTATCTCTTTAAAGATGTCCAGGGGCTGGAGAGAAGGCTCAGCAGTTAAGGACACCTGTTGGTCACATTCATGTATACACATACATACACATATGTATCTCTTTAAAGATGTCCAGGGGCTGGAGAGAAGGCTCAGCAGTTAAGGACACCTGTTGGTCTTTGGTCCCCAGTGCCCACATGGTGGCTCATAACCATCTGTCCCAGAGGCTCTGACGCCATGTAATACACATACAAACACGCAGGCACAACATCATAAACTTCTTTTAAAGACCCTGCATCCTCCAGCTCATCCTGGCTGTCCCACTGCCCTCTCAGACACTCCCTAATTCCTAGTTATCTTCCCAGTACACTGACCTCAGTTCTTCTGAGACGCCCACTCCTATGCATGTGTGAGCTTCCTGACTATATCATTCACAACAGCAGCCACTAAGTACCCACAGCTACTGAGCACCTGACACCGACCTCACACATTCCAAGTTAAACTTAGATATATTGGGTTAAACACACTTCATTAACTTTTACAGCTTTCTAATTTTTTTTTTTACTGTGTTTTAGGTAGGTCTCACATGTGCCCAGACTGGCCTAGTGTCCGGTGGCCTTTCTGCCACAGGCCCCTGAGGAGTGGTTACTGTACCAGCCTGTTGCTGTGGATTATTTTAATTGGCAAAGAAATGTTAATTTGTTTATGCTCCAGAATATCATCTTAACTGTGTGAAGGTGTGTTACATTTGCTGATGCTGCATTTGTTTAATAATGTAAAGACCTGTGTTTAATTATGTAAAGATGTGTTGCATATGCTTCACCTTGCCTGCCTGAGGCACCCGATTGATCTAATAAAGAGCTGAATGGTCAAAAGCTAGGCAGAGGAGAGAGAGACAAGGCGGGAGAGACTAAATAGGAGAACTCTAGAAAAAAAGAGGGAGGAGGAAGAGAGAACAAAGGACACGCACAGGGCCAGGAGCCAGGCAGCCACCAGACAAGACCCGAGAAGCAATGAAGGATAAACAGAAGGGAAAAAAAAGAGTAAAAAGCCCCAAGACAAAAGGAAGACAGAGAAACAGGTTAACTTACGTTAAAAAAGGCTAGCCAAAGGCAGGTGGTGAAGCACGCCTTCAATCCCAACACTCCAAAGGCACAGACAGGTGGATCTCTGAGTTCGAGGCTAGACAGCCTGGTCTACTGGACAAGTTCCAGGACAGCCTCTAAAGCTACAGAGAAACCCTGACTCGAAAAACCAAAACATCAACAACAAAGCTAGCCAGAAAGGAGCCTAAGCGAGGCGGGACATTCAAAACTAATGCGCCCCCTCTGTGTCAAGATCTGGGAGCTGGTTGGTGGCCCCAAGAGTAAAAGCCTGGTATAGCCTATCTTTCTACCTTTCTAAAATCATGCTGCTGAATAAAGCTGGGGACACAGTGGTAAAACACTGACTAGCATGTACAAGGCCCTATGTGTGAGCCTGCCCCCAACACATGCCTTTTAATCTCCATACTGTGAAGCCTGAGGCAGGCAGACCTGAGTTCAAGGCCAGCCCCGGTCTATGTCTCTGGCCAGCCAAGGTTAGAATGAGACTCAGTTACTGCTCCTGGAGAGAGAAGTTCAATTTCCAGCCACCACACAGCACCCTCCAATAGAGCATTAACTCAGCTCCAGAGGCTAGGACACTCTCTCTTCTGTAGAGCCCATACTCTCCACTTCCTCTGAAACACGGACACCAGGCCTGCAGCTTGCGTCCCCAACTACTCTGCAGTTCAGACAGTTGACAAACACCTCTTCACTGTTACACCTGAGCATCACCTGAACCAGGGACTCACTCTGCTCACACTTCTTGTTTGTGGGATTGTTTGTGTTCCAGACAGGCGCTGGCTCACAATGTCGCCTGACATGCAGTTGGTCGGCCTCTGTCTCTTGTCTCTGGACAGTGGAGTCACACCCTTCCACACCGGCTTAATTCAACAACTCTTTACCCTCTACCCCGGTCACTAAACCAATGACACAATCTCCTGAATCCTCTTTCCTCATCTGGCCACACCAGGAGGTCTCGGTACAGTAGCCTCCTACACTGCTAGCAGTCACACTGCAATTACACTTCAGCCCATCCTCCTACCCACCCCAAGCTCCAAACCCGGCTCAGATCACCTGACACTGAGGAAATAAGCATCCTGAGTTAAGAGCTCAGCCTGCTGCCAAGCCCTCTTGTCACTGCGGCTGAATCAGCAGCTCTGGCTGTCCCACAGCTCACCAATCAGGGGCACTGGGTAGCAACTCCACCATTCATTCCCTCTCATCAACCACCCTATTAGGAGAGGGATGGCCACTCTCCTATCACTAACTACAGCATCTCTCCTGCACTGACACTTTTTCTTCTTAGTATTCATGAAGGTTTTATGAAGCTAGTTGTGGGGGTACATGCCTGTAATCCCAGTACTCTGACAAAATGACTCAAGGCTAAGGACCTACTGACCCACCTTCACATGTTCTAGTCCCAGTCTTACTCAGCAGCAGTACTTGAGCAAAGTGACAAGTATCTCTCACTGGCTCTCAGTTCTTTGCCCTCCCCATGTGTTGCAGGTCTGGCTCCTCCCTGTTCAGAATCAGTGCTCGACCTCCTTCCAACACTACACGGTGCTTCCCACAGAGTGCTCCCCACACTTCTGCAGTGTTTGCTCCCTTGCTTTATTCAGACCTCTCTCAAATCTCCCTCTGCAGCTTACAAGGCACCGCAGGCACAGGCCTGTGATCTCAGAACTCAGGGTGCTACAGCAGCCTGGGCCATGCACTGAGACCTCCCAAAGGGGGTGGGGAGGTAGAGTGCCTCACAGAACAAGGGTTCCTCCAGCAGCGCTTTAAAAACCATATTCTCTCCCATCTACACTGTTTAACCCGACAAGCACTTACCATCAGGTATGTAACACACTGGTTACTGACACGCCAGACTAGAGGATTAGCCCCTAGGACAAAGACAGTGAATACTGTTTAATGCTGGGCTTCCGGGCTCCTCACTTGTTCTTGGCGTAATTCTCGATAGCAAGGAACCCTTTTACTTGTAAATCTGCTTGTAAATCTGCCTTGTTCTGCAACAGCTACATAGACACATGGAACAACACGACACTCCTAGTGTCTTTTCCCCGTCCTTGCGCTGCTCCCTAAACCCCCTTCACACCAAGAACCTTTACTCTCAAAAACAAATCTAAGGACTCCTAAAGACAGGCGTCTGAGGCTAAGGACATCAGCTTTCCACTGCGCTAGATAAACGCCGCTACAGGGATGGTTAGTACTTAGGTCCTCCGAAGGGCACATAAAACACAACAGCGAGTCATTTCTCAACCTTGACTATGAAGTCTCCACCCCCAAAAGGCGGCAAGGTTCCAGGTCTGGCTAGCCCTCCGCTGCTCAGGACAGCCTGGACGCCTGCTCTACCTCTCTCTTCTCCATGGGTGCGGAGATGCTTCAGTGGGAAAGCTGTGCAAGGCCATTGTCAGGTCCGTACCTCATCTCGTCTTCCACCATTAGAAGAGCTGAAGGGCTTGCTGCTGCCACCCCCCCTCTGAGGAGGCATCTTGTTAAAAGTTTTGCTTTTCTGTGAATTGGAGCGACGGGACTGGTTGCTAAAATTTTCATTTTTGGGGTAGGAAGGTTCACGCTTGCGATTGTAACGCTTGGATCCATTTGAGTTCTTTCCATCTGAAAGCAAAAAGAAATAGTCATAAGTTCTAGGTTTTTCTGTGTATCTTCCAGCACAGTTATGTTTATTAAAATAAGGGGAAATTAGCCTTTCCATGACCTCTAAAAAGCTACGCTCTATCCAGAGTGTTGGTGCTTTAAGGTAAACAACCAGGGAGGCGGGTTTTATTTGGCTTTGGAACAGCCATTCTGTACTAACCAGAAGTCAGCAAGTTCCAGGTTCAATGAGAGGCCCTGCCTCAATCCATAAATAAATATAACTTATAAATGACTGATCAAGGAAGACACGACATCAACTTCACACTGGTGCATACATACAAACAAGCTTACACACTTGTACACATCACACACATAAAAGCAAAGAGCAAAATAAACAGCCGAGAGCTGCGGCACACCTTATAACCCCAGTGCTTAGTGTTAGGAACTAGCAGGCAGCTGACCCCCGCCCCGATGATGGGCGGGACGCTCATGGCCCTGTCATCGTTACGTCAGCTTTATACGCATGTGCAAGTCTCTTTTAAAGCAAGTGCGCCAAGTGCTTCTCTCTCTGCCTCTCTCTGCTCGCTCTCTGTTTCCTCTCACTCTCCTGCTTTTGGTTGGCCACCAGCTACCCTCTTTCTCTCCCCTCTCTCAATAAACTCAGTAAACGTGAGCGCTGAGTCTCGTGTTTGTGTTTCTTAGGCATTAGCTGCGTAGCAAAAGAACAACACTTAGGAAGCAGCGGCAGGAAACAGGTGTTCAAAGCCAGCCTGAGCTATATGAGACTATGTCTCAAAACAAAGTTGGGGTCTGGAGAGATGGGTCACTGGCTGCTCTTGCAGAGGACCCAACTTCAGTTCCCAAACTTAAATGATGGCTCACAACTGTCTGTAACTCCAGTTCCAAGGGATGCCATGCCCTCTCCCGACTATGGGCACCAGGCACAAATATGGTGCACACATATAAACACATGATGGGAGATGTCATTCTGTAAATGTGTTTCTCTTATTGGTTAATGAATAAAGCACTGTTGGCATATAAGAAGGCAAGATAGGCGGGACTAGGAGACAAAGAGGATTCTGGGAGATGTAGAAAGAGTCAAGGGATTTGAGAGGAAGATAAGACCTCTCTCCGGTAAGATAAGACCACGTGGAAACACTTAGATTGATAGAAATGGGTTACTATTTAAGACAGAGCTAGCCAGTAAGAAACGCTAGTAACAGGCCAACAGATGCCTGCCATGAACTAATTAATAGCATGATATAACCAATACATTTGTTAGTGTCTAATGTTCTGCCAGTTTAATATTTGAGTTTTTAATAAAGGGGTCTATATGGTCATGTCACATATCCAAAGTGAAATTAACTTATCAAGTACATTCATGAAAACCTTTCCCACATCCTAAAGTTGCATTGTAGAAATTAATGACAACTGATTTACACCCTAACAGCAACAACATAAAAGAGAATGTCAAGCTCACTACATTCTTGTTACTACAATAGCACCTGAACCAACTTTGTTCAAATGCAAGGACAAATAATTTTTGATTTTATTTAGATTTTTTAGTTTGTGGTCTCTGATTTTAAACTTGAATTTCTCTGATTAGCAACACATACGGTTTTAGTCCATTTGCTGACCATTTATATTGTCACGTAGCTCCAGGCTGGCCTCAAACTCACTGTACCTGTAAGAATGACAGGGCCCACTCTCGCGTCCCCTCCTGCCAAGTGCCAGGACTACAGGCGAGCGCTCACTCAGCCCGGCTGCCCCGCTTCTCCCTCCTCACAGTTGTGCAGTGCCCACAAGCTGCTAACGGGATTTATGTGGGGCTTCCGCATCTGTTTAACCCTGTGAAGCCGTGTTACTACTGTGCCTGCCGAAAACATCTGGAGGTCATAATGAAGAGCTGAACGGCCAAGGACAGGTGGGGCTGGCAGGCAGAGGATAAATAGAAGAAACAGAACAAGAGGAGGAGGTCAGGGGCAGGCAAGCTGGCCGGCCAGACAGCCAGCCAACCATCTTCAGAATAACAGTGAGAGTTACAGAAATAAGAGAACAGGAAAAACCCAAAGGCAAAAAGTGGATGGGATAATTTAAAATAAGGAAAGCTGGCAAGAAACAAGCCAAGCTAAGGCCAGGAATTCATAAGTAATAAGGAATTCATAATTAATAAGACTTTCTGTATGATTATTTGGGAGCTGGGTGGTGGGGCCCTCAAAAAGCCAAGAGTAAAAAACAAGCCACTACACATTAATACACTACATATCAGCTTACCAGCTTAAAAAGGGGCGTTGGGGCAACAGGCTCAGCTAAATATAAAGTGTCTGATCTGCAAGCATGAAGCTCTGTGTGCAGACCCCAGTGCCCACATTAAGAGCTAGACACATCAGTGTGCAACTCTAGCTCGATGGGAGGCAGAGGCAGCTGGAGTCCAGGGCCTTGATGGACAGCCAGTTTAGCCAAAAAGGCAACCTCCAGGTTCAGTGAGAGATACAGCCTCAAAAAGTAAAGTGAGGATAGCCAATCAGACCTTATCAAAGTTAAAAAAAAAAAAAAAAAGGAAGAAAAAGAACCATATACAATTAAATAGAAAAAATATCAAATTGTAAAATTAAAACACATACTAAACTACCTCACAAAAACAGAAAGGTCCCAAAACTACACTGTCATCCTGCTGGAAAGTGGGAATCTGATTAACTACAGACGTTAGTTTCCTGGCTCTAAACAAGAAAGGAGAAACTTAGCTGCACACGGTTGCACACCCCTTCCTTGAGTCCTAGCACTCTGGAGGCAGAGGCAGGCAGACCTTTGAGTTGGAGGTCAACCTAGTCTACATACAGTTCCATGTCAACCAGGGATACATAGCTACATAGGAAGTCCCTCATTCAAAACAAGGGTGGGAACGCAGTTATGCAGACTAGCTGAGTCCTAGCTCAGGCCTCCTGAGTAGCTGAGATGCACACACACATCCTTCAGCCCAGCTGATGCTGGGGATGCTCAGACTTTCCTAAGGGGATGGCACAGAATTCCAGCATGAGCCTCAGAAACTGAGGACATAGACATTTTGTTTATATTAAAATAACAACTTGGGGCTGGAGAGATGGCTCCGGGGCAGAATCACTGGCTGCCCTTTCAGAGGACCCAGTTTCAATCCCCAGCACCCACATAGGCTCAGAACCACCTGTACCTCCAGTTCCAGAATATCTGCCCCCCTGAACAATAGGCACTCATATGATTCAAAGTCATACATGCAGTAAAAACAAAAACACTATATACAGAAAAATTTTAAAAATTATAAATTGTATGTGTATATATATATATATATATATATATATATATATATATATATAAATAAAATAAGTGAGCTGGGTGGTGGTGGTGGTGCTCGCCTTTAATCCCAGCACTTGTGCAGAGGCAGGTGAATCTCCAAGTCTGAGGCCAGCCTGGTCTACAGAATGAGATCCAGGACAGCCAGGGAAACCCTGCCTCAAACAAACACACAAACATGGGTGTGGTAACGCACATGTGCAGTCCTAGCACTAGCCTGACTCCAGCACTGGGAAATGGAGAACTGCAAGGCCAGCCTGGGCTAGAGTGAGACACCTTGTCTCAGAATACACACAAACACACACATTTAAAAGAAACATGCCTGTAAAGAAAATACATCCAGCCATTGATACATCTATAGTTTGCTTAGAGAATTTTTCAAAAATAATAAAGACTATACTTGATCTTGGCCAAAGGGCCCTGAGCTGAACCCCATGGAGTCCAGTTGTAGAGAGCGAACGTGAGGAGTGATGGGCGGTAAGAGTAGGACCGGTCGGCACGGGAAACTGCCAAGCTAAGCTCACTCCTTGATCCAGAGAATTAACCACAATGTCAAAGCTGGGCTGGGGCTGCAGAGCGCTGTCTAGCACAGGGCCCTCTCCCTCCCGAGCTAGCATCAAGCACAGCACTGGCGGACAAACAGAAGGAAAGCAGGGCTTCATCCACCCCGTCGTGACGCCTGTAACCCTGGCGCTCAGCGGCAGAGGACTGAAATAACCACTCTGACTACAGAATGACACCGTCTCAAAAACAAGTGTGTCTGTACCACATGTATGCCTGCTGCCCAGGGAGGCCAGGAGAGGTGATGGGTTTCCAGAAACTGGAGTTCCTAACAGATAGGAGCTGCCAAGAAGAAGGTGCTGGGAATTGAACCTGGATCCTCTGGAAGAGCAGAGCCCTTTCTTCAGCCTCAGGAAAAGAAACAAAGTAAACACATTCCCTAAACTTCCTTATCTGAGGCTGACAGAGCATGACTCTAACTGCTGCTTTCAAGACATAGGTTCCCATCAAGTGTCAGTCACGGTAGCCTGGCACGCACAGGGCCCTCGGTTTGCTCTCCAGCACAGAACAGGGGTGGGGACCCTACTTAAGAAAGCTACCTCGTGGTTTGCATAGATTTAATGAGACTTGAGGTAAACTGGCACTCAGTAAGAGTTATTTCTTCATGCATTACCACACGATCGGGAAATGGTTTCCTAATACTCAGGAGCCACCCAGTGAAGGAAGCCAACTGCTGATTTCTAAACCAGATTACAACAACTAACCACACCAGGATTCATGATTTCAAGCCCTAAAAATCAACTCCCTTCCCTTCCAAACACCTCACAGCCTCAAGGGAGACATGTCAAGTGAGAAACCAACAGGCTCTTATCTTTTAACCCAGGCAACAGGTAGGCTGAGGATTGATGGTGCTGTCCTGCCTGGGACCCAAAGATAAAATGCACAGCGCTGTTTCTGTGATGCACTTGCCAGGCCATGCTAGTGAACAACTCAGGAGGAATTACCCTCCTCTCAGAACAAACAAGAGCACCCACTTTAGAGTCTGGAAAACAAGTCATGCTCCCAGAAGAAGCATTTGTTTTTTGGGGTCTCCTCCATTTTTTGTTTTTACTTTTCATTTTGTTACTTTGCTTTCTAGTCAAGTTTTAAACTTTAGAATAGTGGTTCCAGCTGTACATCAGAATCACTGGGAG